TAAAGTTGTGTGTTTGTACAGTGCTGATAAAGTTGTGTGTTTGTACAGTGCTGATAAAGTTGTGTGTTTGTACAGTGCTTATGTAAGAATGTGTCACATTTTGTTTTACAGGAAGGAAATTAGATTTTGATATAAATTCAGAATTCTGACATTGCTTTTCCCCCCTTTAAACTCAATACATTTTGGCCCTAATGCTCTTCCATACAGTATTTAAGGTTACTATCATTGACAGTCGTTCAACTCACAGCATCCAATCACAAGAGGCCTGGAGAGAGAAGAGCAGGCTACTGGCGAATCAGAGCAGGGGAGGGTGGCTCCAGATGAAGGCAGGACGAGAAGAAAGTTTCTCACTTAGATTGTGTGAAGTTGGTACCGGGACCCGGAGCAGGATGTTGGAGCCGGTGCCGGTTAAGGTTCACCTGTTGGGCATAGACGACTCAGTGATGGAGGTCCGGAGGTTCGAGCTCTCTCCAGCATATTACCACCGCAACATTAAGTATGTTAACACCACGATCACAGAGCTGTTTAATCTGAAAAGAACTTTCAAGCTCTTCTACAAAGGTAAATATGATTTATTAAACATATACAATAACCTGCCAGAGCAGGTGAGCTCAGATCTTTGTTTCCACTTGTTAAGGACAGGATTAATCACAGTTCATCAGTTCATCTCCGTTAGTTCATCAGTTCATCATGTAAACGGGGAATCGAAACTCAGACTGAACAGGGTAATCATTTATCACAGATTGTTAAAGAATATATACCTGCTTTATAATGTATATAAGGAGTTCGGTCTAGACCTGCTCTATTTGAAAAGTGTCCTGAGATTCTTTTGTTATGAATTGGTGCTATACAAATAAAACTGAATTGAATTGAATTGAATTGTATACCTGCTTTATAATATACTTTATAAGTAAGCAGTAGGTTGGTACAGGGTGGTGGTCGAGTGGAAACCTGTTCTTCAGTTACAGTGAAAGTCAGTTTAGGATTTCATAGAAAATGAAACTGAAATGCTGAGAGGAAAGGGTGCAGTCAAATCAAACACATATATATGTCCGTCTCACTTTATAGATTATAGGGATTATAGATAATAAATGCTCCAGTCTCATTTAATTAAAATTAAATAAATAACAGATGAAATAAAAAGTGTAGCTAGTTTCCTTTTTCCTTTTCCCTTTTGTTGCACTGATTTAAAATAACAGACCATAGGTGGCGCTATTAAGAGGCTAATGGAAGCTTCCCTAAAATGGTCCCTGTAGCCACAGTGCTGATCTGAGTTCAGTAGTTCATTGTAGGTCTGTGTGACCTTTGCTGTTTCACCCTCTGTGTGTACAGTTTGTGTGTCTGCTCAGTGCCTCCTTTATGAACTGCATCTACTGTATGTACTGTATGTACTGTATGTACTGTATATACTGTATGTACTGTATGTACTGTATGTAGCCTACTGTATCTACTGTATGTATGTACTGTATGTACTGTATGTACTGTATGTATCTACTGTATGTATGTACTGTATGTACTGTATGTACTGTATGTACTGTATCTACTGTATCTACTGTATCTACTGTATGTACTGTATCTACTGTATGTATGTACTGTATGTACTGTATCTACTGTATGTACTGTATATAGCCTACTGTATCTACAGTGTCTAACATTATGGGCTTATACTCACTCACTTTGATTGATGATGATGATATGTGTGTTTCAGATGAAGATGGAGACATGGTGGCGTTTTCCTCTGATAATGAACTGCGCACAGCCCTGAATTGCATAAAGGACAACACCTTCCGCGTCTTCATCAAAAGGTACAAACACAACCTGAACCTCGTCTTCATCACTGAGACCTGCTTTTATTTTACAGTCAGATACAGTTATAAAATATCTCTATATTTATATTATATATAATAGGTATATATAAACATTATGAAGGAATGAATAATGATTTTATAGAAACCTGGAACAAGTAACAGATGTAACCCCCTAACCCCCAATGCCCCTAATGCTCCTAATGGATCAAATGTTTCTGTAAGTTATCATAAACCTACTCAGACCGACGCTTCGTGACTCGACCCGCCTGCCTGAACCCGGGTTGGGGGTCAACCTGGGTTCTCGCTCTCTGCTCATGTTCCAAAGGTTTGTTTGTGATGTGTCTGTTGTTGTTGTGTTATACTGCCCCCCAGAGGCTAACTGTAGTAACTACTCACTGTCCATTTCAATGTGTTTTATGCAGAATTTATGTGCTTATTAAATATGTAAGTAAGTTTTATGTCTTAAAATGACGACTAATTATGTGTTTGTATTATACTGTATGATATATCTGCAGTGCACAGAGTGAACAGCTACAGTGTCTTCTTCCTGACTACATCTACTTTATTACAGTAAACCTGGATGGGTCATTGAGGTTTAACTATTAACCCCAACCCTTTTAATTAGTAAAATAATACCTTATCCTGTGTAGCTGAGACAGAACGAGACTGAACGCAGACACCAGATCAGACATTTACAGTATTCGTGTGTTCGTCACTATAAGTGTTCATGTAATAATAATGTGAATCCTGGAGGGGCCTCACACTCAAACAGGCCACTGCTGCACTGCAATGTATCGCACCGTCCATGTAAACTGTGTGTATTTAACTAACAAACAAACAGCAAGCAAACAAACAATGTTCCCCAATACGCAGAATAAAAAAAAGATATACCAATTCTGTAAAAACTAAATATACTAAATAATAATAATAATAATAATAATATAAATAAAGCAAACTACAAACAACAACTCAATACTAACAATTATTCATTAATCCGAGTCTGGTACATTTCACCAGCAGAGGGCGCTGTGCACACTGAAACTGAACAGTGTGTGTGTGTGTGTGTGTGTGTGTGTGTGTGTGTTCCTGAACAACGCAGGACTTTCTGGTGACCTTTGACCTCGGAGAACATCTGATGGAAACCTGAACACAAAGCCGCCCTGTGTTACTGACACACACACACACAC